TATTGATTACTCTATATAAACTTCTCGTATCAAATGTATTTCCTTTTAATCTTTATTTAAAACATAATACAACTATTTCTTTGTTGCAGGAGGACCATCATCAGGACGATACTTGGTCGTGGGACTTTAGAAGGACTATCAGGACCATCCTACATCGTATGACTCCAAGAGAACCACCATCAGGACCATGCTGCGTCTTGGGACTTCAGGAGGACATCATCAGGACCTTGCTGCGTCGTGGGACTTTAGAAGACATCAGGACCAGGCTGCGTCGTGGGACTTCCGGCGAGTGTTCGCGTCGGGAGTGCTCCGGGCCGGAGTGCCCGGATTCGAACTTCGAAGCCCCTAAGGGGGCTTTTAAGTTCGAATTCGAACTTCGAAGTCCCGAAAGGGCCTTTTAAGTTCGAATTCGAACTTCGAAGTCACCAAGGGGGCCTCTACGTTCGAATTCGGGCTCTCACCTTCCGGGCCTTGACCCGGACGGTCTTCGAATAACAAAAAACGATCGCGCTAAACCTGGTAGACGTGAAAAATTCATTTTTGCCTTTTAAATAAAACACGTAAGCTTTTCTCTGTCTTTTATTGTGTCTCCTCCCCTGCTGGGGTCTCCCTCCCTCCCCGTCTCCCTCCCTCCCCCTGGAGAGGGTACCCCTGGCGGGGTCCCTCCCCTCTAGAGAGGAGCCCCCTGGATGGGGGTCCCCTCTCACACATGCACGCCCCCATTCATACAGACCCCTCGATGGGGTCTTACACACAACATTCACGCCCCCTTTCATTCTTTCACGCACACACACACACTCCAATTCATCCTGAGGGTGAGAATGCGTGCTAGAAGGAGAGTTACATGTTGGAGAGGATATTAACCTTGTACCCTCTCCAACATACACTCTCTTTCTCGCACACATTCTCACCCTCTCGCTCTGAGGTTGAGAATGTGTAAAAAAGTATGTATGTGATAGAGGATGAATTCATTTTTACATCCCCTTTCACACACACACTCCTTCACACATTCTCACCCTCGTTCATTCTCTCTCTTTCATTCCCACAAATTCCCTCTCGTTCACACCCTCGTTCATACTCTCCCACACTTCCATACATTCAGAGGATGAGGGTGCATATTAGAAAGAGAGTTACATGTAGGAAAGGGTATAACATTGTACCCTCTCCCACACACACACTCTTTCTCACAAGCACTCTTACCCTCTCGCTCTGAAGGTGAGAATGTGTGTGTATGTTATAGAGGATAAATTTATATTTACACCCTCTTTCACAAACACATATTCTTACCCTCACTTCCTCTCACCGTTTCATTCAGTCTCACACTGCCTCATATTCACAGATACACTCTTTTCCACCCTATGTTCATTCACTTGTACACATTATCCCTCTCACACACACGATATCATCCACATAGTCTCACCCTCATTCACTCTTACACATTCTTTCATTCACTAGACTCACCCTTGTTACATTCATTTTATTTTACATTTCATTCCTTTTGCCTCCTCTTCCACACACGCACACATTAACTGATATGAACCCCTTTTACCCCATGCTTTCACTCTCTCATACCCACAGATTTATTCTTACCTTCATCCACTCATACATTATTTCAGAATTACACTTTTGCATTCTCATCCTTATTTTCTCGCACGTTCACTGCCACCCTTACTGCTACTCTCATTCATCAGTTCTGCAAACTCTCTCACTTTCATACAACCGTGCTCACCCCATAATAAATTCCCAATTCCCCAGTTTATTATTACAGCAATGTCGTTTCTAAAAATTTGCAACTATGTGATAAATAGTTACAACCTAAGATAACTAGAATTAATAATTATCTGGACTTAAATTAATATAAATACAATTCATGTAAATATTTCATCTTATCCATATCTTAAATTAACTTCTAAAATATTCATAATCATTACAATTTAAATTAACCTAATTAGACTAAAACCTATGTATGTACATAAGTGTAAAATAAATAAATATTAAACCTATTTCAGAAGTAAATTTAAGA